ACTCACTCTTCTACGATTCCACGATTGTAGAGGAATGAGATAGCCTATGTATATTTCTCTCTCTCACTCGCGGGAATTTGCTTGGTCTCTAGACCCTCATTATTGTCCGCGGTCGTTTCTGGCGGCGCCTTCACCTCATGTCCCGCGACCGATAGCAAACATTTTCGACCGGTTTGAAATTTTTATATCTCGCTTTATGTTATCTTTCGCTTATTCCTTCCTCCCCTGTGCCTCGCTCTTCGCCTCTCCGCGAGTGTTGTGTTAACAAGCATTTCCTCTCGCCCTCTTCCCTCCCGCGATTCGACGCCGCTCTTTCTTTCTTTCTTTTTTTTTCACGAGTTCGAAGTGCGACGCGTTTCGCTGTATCGCGGGCGCGGACCGGCGAATTCGTAAAATAACCAGTTGTCGATCGCGCTTTTGTGCATATATCGCGATAAATAACGGAACAAGCGGGGAGCAGTTGCGAATGCTCGGGCGCGGAAAAAGGCGCGATTGTCGCACTGGGAAAGTACTCAAATTAGAAATAGCTGAAGACAGCAAGTACCAGGAACTGGCTACGATAAATTAATTTGCGAGACATTTGAAAATTCTTTCTGAAGCGACCGCCCGATCTTTCTCCTCTTTTGTACCGCGCGAAGCTAGATATGACAAACGTATTCGTGTTTTTTTTCTTATCGATATCAGTGAAAGCATCGGGCGTAGATTATTATCTGTTTGCGTAAGCTGTAAATCGGGATTGTTAATAATTTAATCCAAAAATCGGAGCGTTATCTTACTTTTCTACTTAGAATTTCTACTCCGTTACTCTTATCGTTCACGATGGAGATCCCCGATGCGATCTAAATAGTCTAAACACACGAGAAAACGTTAAGCAGGAAGACGTAGATCCAGATTCTGAATTCCCTTCCATTGCTAAAAATGTCGCTAAAATTGATAAAGCTTCGAAAGATTCTTATTGGCCGAAAAGATCTTTCACAGGCACTTTTGCCAACAAAAGATAAGATCCCGTTCAGAACACGGGCCTCAAGACTTAAGGGAGGCGACCAATGACAAGAATTTCAATCAATCGGAATTTTCAGTCTAAGTTTTACAATGACAGGCGAGAAGCGGCCATTGTAAAACTTGGACTGACAATTCCAATTGATTGAAATTCTTAAGCTTTAAATCTTACCGCGCCAATTTTTCGTGTGTGTCCAACTTGAGATGATTCGCAAGAGTGACACGCGAGTCGCGTAACAATACGTTGTCGTTCGATCGTTAAACTCGATTACTTCCCGTTCGATTAAGCGTGAAATCTTATCTCGCGATTAATTAGCACAATTAATTTTTTCCTCGTGACATTAGCGCAACCACGATATCAAGAAATGATATCCACAATTTATTTCTTTACGGTATTATGACACTCGACATATCGACTGCAATCGTGACGTTGATTTTCGTCAAATCAAACTGGATACGGTAAAATATAATAAAGCCTACACGATAACGATATGTAAGAACGAGCAAAGACAACCAAGATAAGACATGCAGAAGATGAAACGTCGCTTATTGAGTGTATTTTAAACTAGAAAAGATCTCGAGCGTGAGAAATTGAGGGTCTCCATACTTGCAAGGGGAGTAGCAGGTAGTGGTCTTGATACTACAAAATATATCAAGTTCGAGAAAATCGGTGAGGCCACTACCTGGTACTCCCCTTGTTAAGGTCAGAGCACAAAGCAACGTAAAGCCTATCACACAATGCCAGGCAATAGAAATATGCATGGAGTCTGCATAAGGAGATGGAACTAGGCTTGATTACGTCACCGAACGTGGGCCGACATTATCGCAAAATCGTCAATCAAAATTTTACCACTTTTGCCGGCGTCGCCCGAGGGGGATGCTGGAGTTTACCGGTCTTGATCTCACTGGTCCGTAGGCACAGCGTATGTAAACAGCTGAGCACGGGAGTTCGGTTTCCTTATTCGTCGGAAATTTTCTTCCAACCAATCCAATGCGTCAGAAATTCTATTCCCTGTTCCTGCCACTGAGGCTTGTTTACAGTCAATTCCTATATTTAAGGATCGCCTTAAGTACTTTTCACGATACTTTATACCCAGTAGAACGATCTGTGTAGCATTCGTACATCATTTTGGCTGAATAGTTTTGGACGCGCACCTGAAATGACCATAAATACAACAGTAGACTCTGAACAAGCCTTGGTGCGCACTAGTGCAAGCTGCCGAATTCGCTATTAGTAATTTATAGGGTTGGGAAAGTTGCTATAAGACTATCTAGTTACAGTTAGGCCCGGTTTCACCAACCTCGCTTAACTTTAAACTTGGCTTAATTCGTTCTTTGTCTCTTTCCAACCGTTACTTTAGAAAGAGACAAAGAACGAAGCAAGCCAAGCTTAAAGTTAAATCACGTTGGTGAAGCCGGGCCTTATATTGTTTTTCTCGCTAAAAACGTAACTAGTTAGGCTGATGGCAGAGAACAATCCGTAAACGCTTAAGACTGCCTCAGTCGTAGACGTAGGGCAAAGCAGAGAGAAACGTAAGTCGTATACAATAGCCTTTCACAACTTACGTCTCTCTCTGCCTTGCCCCACGTCTACGACTGAGACAGTCTTAAGCGTCGTCTACAATAGGTGGCGTAAGCTTGGCGTAAGAAGTAAGAGTAGGCGTATAAAGGCTGGTCTACAATACATGGAGTAAGCTGGAGTAAGGAGTAGGAGTAAGGAAATAAATCCATTTTATTTCTTACTCCTACTTCAGCTCTTAGGCTTACTCTCGGTGAATCAAAATGCCATCAATCATGGCATTTTGATTCACCGAGAGTAAGCCTAA